GGGCTGGGAGGTCAGGGCTAGGGTGGTGTGTGTGTGTGTGTGTGTGTGGTGTGTGGGAGGTAGCAGCTTTAAAGGTCATCTGCAGGAAGGAAAAGAAGGTCCCATCCTCCTCTGACCTCCCCCCCCCATCTCGTCCTAATGACTCAGGCCTCAGCTCTCACTTAGGGCAGAAGACACATGCCCCCACCCCAGGCCTGGCATGTGGACTGAACTGCAGTACATGGGTGGGGAGAATGGACATGAGGACAGGGACGCAGCAGGCTAAGTGCTCCAACTACCTCCCATGTGCCCCCTTACCTATCCCCAAATGGCACTTCTCAACCCTAGGGCCTACCCTCCTTCTCTCGCAGATGGGAACCTATAACCCTGTGCACACCTCCTGGGGCTCAGTGACCTTCCCAGCCCCTTGCTCCATGCCCGCTGCTCTCTGGGACGCAGTCTGACTTCAGGTGGAGGGGGCAAAGAGGCACCTGCTCCAGCGCAGCGCGGGAGTGCCCGTGGGTTCAGCACCACGCGGCGGACAGCTCCGGGCCCGTGGCCCTAAGGAGTCGGAGGGGAGAAGTGGAGGAATCCAGAGGGAGGCGGAGGCCGGGTTGGGCGCGGGAGATCAGGAGTTGGGAGGAACGGAGGAGGGGCTGGGGGCGGGCCGGGGCCGGGGGCGGGGCGGGCCGCGATTGAAAGCAGCTGGGCGAGCAGGCGGGCCGAGAGATCAGAGACGCGGAGCCAGCGAGCCAGCGAGCTAGCCAGCTAGCCGGAGCTGGAACCCCACGCTCCCGGCTCCTCCGTTTTTTCTCCGCGCCTGAGCCGGGCGCGCAAGGTAGGGTAAGCCGGGTGGTGCCGCGGCCGCCGCCGACCTTATTGATCCTGACCCCGTGTCCCAGAGTCCCGCGGACCCTTGGGTTCTGAGGTGCCCGGGCCGGGACTGGCCCAAGCGTCCAGACAGCGCTCTCCAGGAGCTCCGGGAAGCGGGAAGACAGCCCCAGGCGTCCCACCTTTCTTTCCCAGAGAACGCATGCCCTGCAACGCGCTTCCTCGTTCCTCCTGCCCCTCTGTCCTTTGGTCAGTCTTTCTGTCTGTGCCTCTGTCTTTGTCTCAGCCTCTCAGGCTCCATCGCTCCCTGCCGGAATTTTGTGGCCCAGGCCCCCAGGCTGCCCCTCCCAGGGTTCCATCTCCATGGTCCTGTCCCTATCAGAGCTTTGGTCCCAGCTGCCCTGTGGGAGGCTTGCGGTCTTGACTGGTAAGGGCCTCAGCCCCCATCTGAGTCCCTGTCTCCATCTGCGTTGGTCTTCACGCTTGCCTCTCCTTTTTGCCTGGTTGAGCTGTTTCTTCCTGAGTATCCACAGGATCCCAGTCCCCCTGGCCTGACTCAGCCTCAGCAGGAGATTAACCGTGGGGAGCTGAGGGGACAAAGTGAAGAGCCCAGTCTCTGTGTCCAGGATGTGGGGTCCCTGAACGAGTTTTGCCCTTCTTCAGGCTCAGTTTCCCTCTCCTAGTCTCCCTAAACCTGTGTGATTGTGACAGCCCTTGTGGGGTAGGTGTCTGGGAGAGCAGCTGGGGCACAAATGATGGGTGCAGAGTGAAAGAAGGAGGCGAGGGTCTCTGAGGGCCAGAGCCAGGGTGGACAGGGCCCTGAGGCTGAGGACGGGGAGACTGGAGATGATGACTTTTCTGCTTGTTTCTGAGCTGAAGAGAAAACGGGAAGCCAAAAGTCTCAGTGTTCTACGTAGAGCTAAGGTTTACATATTTTTGACTAGATGAACTGACCCCCATTCCTGACACATACATACACTCACATCTACTTTCCTTGTTGACTTTAGGACCTGTGGCCACTTCAGTGTCCCTCCTTGGGGCCAGACTCTCTACCTTGCTGTCTAACTTCCAGGAGCTAGAATCTCTATTACTTCCTCAGTCAGGGGGCTTTGAGGATGGCTTTTTAAGAACCAGAGGCTGGGACCCTGGGGTGTTCACCTGGTCTCCAGTCTCCCTAGGAGTTGGAGAATAACTACTCTTTAAAGACTCTTCCTTCCCTCTTCCCTGGTGGGTTCTCAGCCAGCAATGTCTCCTCTCTGGAAATCCAAAGCTCAGGATGGGGACTGGACCCATCCCCTAAGTTTGTAACTGTTATTTTATGCTGCAAAGCTGTTGACTCTGGGGTTCTAGGAGATTTGTGTAGGTTGTTGGACATTCTGTGACTCACAGTGGGATTGGTGTTGGCTGAGGTCTCCTGTCTTCCGTCTCTGCAGTCCTCCAACTCTGCTAAGTTTGGGATGGGCACAGAGCCCATCTCCAGCCCCAGATCAGGGCAGGGCTGAGAGGCAGGCCTCGGGGATGTCCCAGGAGCTTCTCATTCTAGTTAGTGATACCACCTCTCCCTGGTTCCTCAGTCCCTGTGAAAGGAGCTTGGGGGAGGCAGAGTCAGAGGGGTAGTCACTCTCAGGTTCCACTTTTCCCTATCTGTCTGTCTGTCTCTCTCTTTCTCTGCAGGAGCTGGGTCCCTCCTCACCCTCTTCCTGTCTGTCCTTTCCTGGTCCATTTCCACCTCTCTTTGCCTTTGCTGCTTCTACCCTCATCCCCTAGAGGCCCAGGTCTGCTGGACCCATCCATCCCCTTTGTGGCCATGGGATCACTGCTTGGGCTTCTGGCTCTGCTGCTGCTGTGGGGCGCTGTGGCTGAGGGCCCAGCCAAGAAGGTGCTGACCCTGGAGGGGGACCTGGTTCTGGGTGGGCTGTTTCCGGTACACCAGAAGGGCGGCCCGGCAGAGGAGTGTGGTCCTGTCAATGAACATCGTGGCATCCAGCGCCTGGAGGCCATGCTTTTTGCGCTGGACCGTATCAACCGTGACCCAAGCCTGCTACCGGGTGTGCGCCTAGGTGCGCACATACTCGACAGCTGCTCCAAAGACACACACGCTCTGGAGCAGGCCCTTGACTTCGTGCGTGCCTCACTCAGCCGGGGTGCCGATGGCTCACGCCACATTTGCCCCGACGGCTCTTATGCCACCCACGGTGATGCTCCCACTGCCATAACTGGTGTAATTGGCGGCTCCTACAGCGATGTCTCCATCCAGGTACATGGGGGCTGTTTAAATGGGGGGTGGGAGGGGAGGCTGGAGGTGGAGACCTGGAATTCCTGCTGAGCAGAGGCTCTGAGCTGCCATGCATTGGAAGAGGGACCAGAAGCTTCCTTTGAGTAGCTCTTTAATGAAGACTAAGAAAGCGTCCCTGTGACGTAATGGGGGTCAATTTTTAGAGACTGTGCAAGGAAAATATTCCCTGTGCGTGCACGCACACACACACACACACACACACACAAACACACATCTGATGTTAAATAGTCCCGAGAAGCTTAATAACCAGGACTTTTGAGCCAGAACTCAAGGTTTGACTCCTAGCTCCCCACCCCACCTCCCCACCTACTGTGTGACTCTGGGCATTATTTCTCTCTTCTGTGCCTCAGTTTCATCCTTATAAAATGGGACTTGTAATATTTACTGCTCTTAGGGGTGTGATGGAAATTTAAAATACATACAAAGCATGTATCACAGGGCCTGGCAAGTCATAAGGGCATAATCAATATTCGCTGTCATTGTTATTAAGCCATTTTATAGATGAGGAAACTGAGGCTTGGAGAGAGGCAAGTCACAAGTCAAGGTGCTCACAAAGTGGAGACGTGAACCTAGAGCTATCAGCCAAGAACAAGGAACTGTCAGATCATTTCTCTGTGGGTTGGAAAGGGGTGGAAGGTAGAAGCCCAGAACAGCCCAAAGAAGAGAAACAGGGGTGGGGGACCCAGAAGGAAGAGAAGCAGGATGTGTGGGAAGGTGAGGGGGAGGGTACCCCAGGGGATGCAGGATTTGAAGGGGTGGGAAGGAATGGGAACCAGTTCTCCCTCCTCCTGCTCTCCTGTAAGAGGTCAGCACAGGGGACTGGCTCAGCTGATGTCCCTTGGCCCGCCTGGTGGCTTTAGCCCAAGTGGGATCCTCCCCATTCCACTCTTGTCTGGACCCTTGTCTGCCTGGTGCCTGGTGCAGGCTGCTGCATAATTGAGGCCAGAACTGGGCTTGGGGCTGGGGGTTGTAAGGAAGGCCTTGTCTGGGGCCTCAGCTTCCTTTAGGAGGCCAGCTGAGAGTACTACCAGAAGCAAGGCCAGGACCCATGACCTGGAATTCTTGTTTAGGAGAAAGGAAGCAGGAGCTGAACCACGGAGGCAGCTTCTGGCCTGGGCTGGGGGAGGCCTGCTCATCCCCCTTTTACTGGTCCTGCTGGTCCCAGATACTGGAGGTGGCTGGTAGTAGCTTGGATGGGTGTGGCTGTGCTGGCACCTACATCTGTGGCCCTGGCTGGGGCAGGGATGGACGGGCAGTCTCCTACTTGCTGATGTCTTCAGGAGCTCTGAGGTACTTTCCCAGCACTCCCTCCAGAATTCTCTTAAGGGCCCCATGCATTCATCTCCAGGAGCCCAGTTACCTCCCTCTGCCCAAGTTGCCTGTCATAGCCTTGGTCGGCCTTTTCCTTGTCTGGGTCAAAACCAAGCTCAGCCCTTTATCCTTAGACTGCACCTGCCTGGTAATGATCCCTCCACATGCCTGCCCCTTCTCTCTTCCCCAAATCCCTGTCATCTTCCATATGCCAGGTACTGTGGCTGCATCATACATCATTACTTTTATCTGCTCAGCAACCTTGTAAGGCAGGAATGAGAAACTGAAGCTCAGGGAGGTTTCCTAATTTGCTAAGGGGCACAGAGAAAGTACAGAGAAGGCATTGACATTGTTGGCATAAGAGTGAACCTGTGGCAAATAGGCTGCTTCAGACCTAACTCCCTCTTGTGGAACCAGGAGCAGGCCCTGCTCTTACCTACCCACCATCCCACCAGGCCCTTGGCTGCACCCCACTCTTGGGGACAGGTCCCAAAGATCTGAGGGTGGAGACTGGTTGCCATGCAGGCAGTGGTATGTAGGGAGCCTTGTTTATTTCAGGCTCAGGCATCCAGTGGAGACTCTTGGATGCTCAGAGCTATGGAGCCCTCAAATCTGGGTCTTACTTCCAGGAGAGTCTTTTCCTTCTTTCTCCATCATCCTATCAGGATTGACTCTGGAAAGGGTTACCTGCCTCAAACAGGTGGAGAGCTTAAGAGCCCCGAGCATCCCAGATGCCATCTAGTGCCTCCTTCTCCCTGCACAGCCAACTGTCAACCTCTCTACACCCAGGACTTGGGCCTTCCGTTAGCTCCCTCCTTTTGCTACTGCCATGCATCTGTCAGAGGGGGTCAGGTGTGGCTCAGGACTCTGGTACCTCAGCCCTGGGTCTTCTCTCTCTCAGCCATTGGGAAAGGACAAGGAACTCCCTGACCCCTGGAGAAGACACCTCAAAATAGGATATAGGTCTTTGAGGAGAGGGGGACCTCAGGGCTGACTTCACGGGCACTTGATCCCAAGGTCTGATAGCTGTGGGGGACACATTTGTCTCTAGCATTTGACTTGGTGTCTGTCTTCACCTCCTCTCCCTCTCCCCCAGGTGGCCAACCTCCTGCGACTATTTCAGATCCCACAGATCAGCTATGCCTCCACCAGTGCCAAGCTGAGTGACAAGTCTCGCTATGACTACTTTGCCCGCACGGTGCCCCCTGACTTCTACCAAGCCAAAGCCATGGCTGAGATTCTCCGCTTCTTCAACTGGACCTATGTGTCCACTGTGGCATCCGAGGGTGACTATGGCGAGACAGGCATCGAAGCATTCGAGCTAGAGGCCCGTGCCCGCAACATCTGTGTGGCCACCTCGGAGAAGGTGGGCCGCGCGATGAACCGGGCAGCCTTCGAGGGTGTGGTGCGGGCCCTGCTGCAGAAGCCCAGTGCCCGCGTGGCTGTCCTGTTCACCCGTTCCGAGGACGCCCGCGAGCTCCTTGCTGCCACCCAGCGCCTCAACGCCAGCTTCACCTGGGTGGCCAGTGATGGCTGGGGGGCCCTGGAGAGCGTGGTGGCAGGCAGCGAGGGTGCTGCTGAAGGTGCCATCACCATCGAGCTGGCTTCCTACCCCATCAGCGATTTTGCCTCCTACTTCCGGAGCCTGGACCCCTGGAACAATAGCCGGAACCCCTGGTTCCGTGAGTTCTGGGAGCAGAGATTCCACTGTAGCTTCCGGCAGCGAGACTGTGCAGCCCACTCCCTGCAGGCTGTGCCCTTTGAACAAGAGTCCAAGATCATGTTTGTGGTCAATGCGGTGTATGCCATGGCCCACGCGCTGCACAACATGCATCGTGCCCTCTGCCCCAACACCACCCGCCTCTGTGATGCAATGCGGCCAGTCAATGGACGCCGCCTCTACAAAGACTTCGTTCTCAACGTCAAGTTTGATGGTAATGGTGCTGGCCAGTGTCCACCAGGCTGCTAGCCCTCAGAGGGTGAGAGGGAGCCGGCCCTCAGGTTCTAGTTCATGGCTAAGAAAACACAGCCTACGGCAAGTCAGGGACTTACCCAAGGGGCTGGGGTCAGAGCCAGGACAAGTACAGCTAGGCTGAGAGGACTGAGGTTCCATTTTCTGACACCCTTTCATAGAGTAGACGTCTGGCCTGGTCCGGCACTGTGAGGGTCTCTGGTTCCTGCTCAAGCCTTGCCCTCTCTCTCCTGTCTCTTTATCATGCAGGGAGGAGGCATCGGGAGATCTCAAGCTGATTGTCAGGCAGCAAAATATCAGTGAGAGTCAGAATAAAGGTGCATTAGGATTTTCCACTCAAGGTGGTCTCTTTAAGCCAAAAGTTATTTGAATGAAAGTTCCAGCTTCAAGAAAAATAAATGCCTGAGATCATTGCTCCGCTTCAGAAAGCATCACTGTGGGAACTGTGGGAGAGGGTGCCAGGGCTGGCCCAGGAATAAGACGAATAGTAATTCCAATACGATTGACATTCAGAGTTATGGGAGAATCAGGATGAGAGTTTGTGTTGCATTTGAGTCTGATTGGGTTGACATTAGAGCAAGGCTAAATTTAGCCCACTGGGCTTGGTGGAATTTATGGTAGGGCTCAAGTTGGATTTTGAGGATTTTGAGGCTGGGTGGAAAGTAGGGACTGCAAGGGACCTGCATTCGACTCCAGGCCGCACCATTCACCACGGGGCCTTCAGCACATCATCTGCTAACTTGAACCCCATTTCTCACTGGAACCTGGGACGGCAGGGGTCCTGCCTCCTGAGCCTGGCTGGGAGACAAGAGGTTCACGGGGGAATAGGGGTGGGGAGTAGAGTGGCTTGTGAGCTGTCTGCCAGGAACATTCTGGTGAACATCAGTGGTTCCAGGTGACTGCTGAGGTTGGGATTCAGCTCACCCTGGAATCAATGTTGGGACTGACAGGGGCTGGAGCTAGGGTTGTCATTTTTGGGATTAAGTGGGACCAGGACTGGACCTGAGGTTGAGTTTAGCTTTGGAAGGGTCTCCACGCTAAGTTTTGCAGAAAGGGCTATGCTTTGTGTCAGGATAAAATTGGGGTCTGGATTGGAAGATCTAAGGCTGGGTTTTGGGAGTCATGACTGGGGGTTAGTGTGGGCATTTGGGTTCTGGAGATGCCTGGACTTTAAGCTGGGGTTCTAATTGAAGCTTAGGGTTGGGGTTTGTTGCAGCCTCTCATTTAGAGAAATGTCTGGGGTTAGGCCAGCTTTAGCATTGGGGTGAGGGTCAGAAGGACGAGAACTGGCCACAGCTCTGGGCTTTGGGTTTCACGTTCAGGGGAGGGCTGAGGTCACTTCAGGATGACCCACCAATCCATCCCTCTCTTCCTTCCCTCCCTGACCCCAGCCCCCTTCCGCCCAGCTGACACCCACAGTGAGGTCCGCTTCGACCGCTTTGGTGACGGTATCGGTCGCTACAACATCTTCACCTATCTGCGGGCAGGCAGTGGGCGCTATCGCTACCAGAAGGTGGGCTACTGGGCAGAAGGCCTGACCCTGGACACCAGCCTCATCCCATGGGCCTCCGCCTCAGCCGGGCCCCTGCCCGCCTCTCGCTGCAGTGAGCCCTGCCTGCAGAACGAGGTGAAGAGCGTGCAGCCGGGGGAGGTCTGCTGCTGGCTCTGCATCCCCTGCCAGCCCTATGAGTACCGGCTGGATGAGTTCACCTGTGCTGACTGTGGCCTGGGCTACTGGCCCAACGCCAGCCTGACAGGCTGCTTCGAGCTGCCCCAGGAGTACATCCGCTGGGGCGATGCCTGGGCCGTAGGACCCGTCACCATCGCCTGCCTGGGGGCCCTGGCCACCGTCTTTGTGCTAGGTGTCTTCGTACGGCACAATGCCACACCAGTGGTCAAGGCCTCGGGCCGGGAGCTTTGCTACATCCTGCTGGGTGGCGTCTTCCTCTGCTATTGCATGACCTTCGTCTTCATTGCCAAGCCGTCCACAGTGGTGTGCACCTTACGGCGCCTCGGTTTGGGCACTGCCTTCTCCGTCTGCTACTCAGCCCTGCTCACCAAGACCAACCGCATTGCGCGCATTTTCGGAGGGGCCCGGGAGGGAGCCCAGCGGCCGCGCTTCATCAGCCCTGCCTCCCAGGTGGCCATCTGCCTGGCCCTGATCTCAGGCCAGCTGCTCATTGTGGTTGCCTGGCTGGTGGTGGAGGCACCAGGCACGGGCAAGGAGACAGCCCCTGAGCGGCGTGAGGTGGTGACATTGCGCTGCAACCACCGCGACGCCAGCATGCTGGGCTCACTGGCCTACAACGTTCTCCTCATCGCACTCTGCACACTCTATGCCTTCAAGACCCGCAAGTGCCCTGAGAACTTCAATGAGGCCAAGTTCATCGGCTTCACCATGTACACCACCTGCATCATCTGGCTGGCCTTCCTGCCCATCTTCTATGTCACCTCCAGTGACTACCGGGTGAGCCCCCACTACAGGGCGGGCAGGGGTTGGGGGAGCAAGCAGGACACGGGACCTTCTGTTTCCTGGCATCCCATTTAATCTGATCACTTTGAGGCTCCAACAGGTTTAGTGCTCACCTAGAGGCCTACAGCTTGTGGTGGCCCAGTTGGGACTGGACCCCAGGGGAAGGTGGGAAGGCTGAGTGGGGCCTGGGGAAATGGCTATGGAGATGGAGGGGTCAGGGCTGAGAAGAGATTTCAGGACTCAGATATCATCTCCTGACCTGGGAGGAGATGGAGGTGCCAAAATACGTCCAAATGAGCAGAGGTTTTGCCCTGCTGCACTGAGGGGCTGTTTGCAGAAGGGGAGCCCCGGTCTCTGCTCTTGGTGAGCTCCTGGACTAGCAGGGTGATTGACCAAAGAACTAAGTCAGGCAATGCTGCTGATTGCTTTAGGTTGACAAAAGGCCCCAACGAGAGTGTGGAAGAGGGAGATGTGTAGGTGGTGGTGGTGGTGGTGGTGGTGGTGGTGCATCAAGGGAGTCAGAGAGGGTTTCTTGGAAGAGGAGTCCTTGAACCGGACTCTGCTGTGCAGGCAGGTTGGGATAGGTAGGGTGGAGGAGGTGGGGAAGGGCAGCCAAAATGGAAGCTGATTGGAGCAGAGGGTCTGCATTGCCCCTCACTCCGGGTTGAGGTGGGGAGGCATAAATGAGGTGAGCAGGGGTGGGAATGTGGGAATGGCAGGGCTCTTGAGCCAGCGGCCCCAGAAGGTGCCATGCTCTGATGCCCCTTGAAGCCATGCAGTGTGGCCTGGTGCCCCTGGAGCTGTGTGACTCTGGGATTGAGAGATGAAACTGGGGAGGACAGGAAAGGTGAAGCAAAGAGGAGGAGGAAAGCTGGGGTGTAGGGTCAGGGAAAGTCAAAGCCAGTGAAAACTGTATCCCAGGTGGTGGCTTCCATCCAAGTGGTACCGAGTGTCTCAATGGGTCTCCTCAGCTTCAAGAGGCAAAGGCTGCTTTGGATGGGGTGGTCAGGGAAGGCTCCTCTAAGGTGACAGATGAGCTGAGCTCTGAACAGTAAGAGGATAATCTTGGTTAATCCTCACGACTCTGGAGGAAACTCCATGGCTCTCCCCATTTTACAGATGAAGAAACGGAGGCTCAGGGAGGTTCAATCCCTTGCCTAAGGTCTCTCAGCTTGGGAGTATAGAGCAGGGTCTGAATTGACAATCTTAACAATTAAAGAAGCAGGAAAATCAAGGCAAGAGCCTCTGCAAAGGCCCTTTCCCTCAGGACAGAGGTATGGTGGGCAGTACTGGGGGCCAGGGGTGGCTGGGCTTGGCTGCTCTTCCACCTGCTGGGCCACCTGCCTGGGTGGTGGAGGCCAGAGATGGGGAGGGAATCTGCTCTGATGCAGCCTGTATTTGCATATGATTTGCATTTGCATGCCAATCATCGGTGGCAAAGGACCCACCCAGGATATATACTCAGTACCCACATATGCATGCAGACACACACACACCAGCACCTATGCATGCAGACACACACGTACCCCTACACTCACTTGTGCACACACAGACACACCTGGCATACATCCACATCTTCTCAGCTACACACATCCATATACATGCATTCTTTATGTGCACATATCTGCACACTTTCAAGACCCACTGCACACACACCCCCACAGAGATATACATGCATTTATACGCAGGCACTCTATATCTGCATCTCGACACACATAACACCTGCACACACACTCCCATGTGTACACGTGCCCCTGCATGTTCACCCCCACAGCTAGAACTTTGGTCTCCCTGGGAAGACGGTGCACTGGGGCTGACGCTGTGGTTGTGCCCAACCTGCCTAAAAATCCTTTGGGGCTTGGCAAACGGACCAAGGCCCAGTGTTGGATGCTTATTGTCTCCCTCACTCCCTACCCCACCGCCTGGGCAGGGTTCCTGGGGCCAGGCCCAGGCCTTTGGGACAGACTCATCCTTGACCTCTCCCACCACAGGTACAGACCACCACCATGTGTGTGTCGGTCAGCCTCAGCGGCTCCGTGGTGCTCGGCTGTCTCTTTGCGCCCAAGCTGCACATCATCCTCTTCCAGCCGCAAAAGAACGTGGTTAGCCACCGTGCACCCACCAGCCGCTTCGGCAGTGCTGCCGCCAGGGCCAGCTCCAGCGGCCAAGGTCGGCATCCCCCCTAAGCACCCCTGTCCACCTGGGCCTCCTCTCCCTGCCTCAGCTCCTCAGCATAGGGCCCACTCCCTGGGTTGCTGAGATTCCTTGGCTGGGGGTGGAGGGCCCCCTAGATGAGGCTGGACAGGAGAGGGCAAGGTGGTGGCGGGGAGCCGCCCTCTGCAGCCCTTCTCCCCCTGCTGCCTGCCCTGCCCAAGGGACCTTGGGGCTGGCCCCAACCTCCAGCTTCCTTTCCCCAGGGTCTAGCTCCCAGTTCGTCCCCACTGTGTGCAATGGCCGTGAGGTGGTAGACTCGACGACATCGTCGCTGTGAGGATCCCCACAATCCTGCCACCACACAGCTGCTCCCTGGAGCCCGGTGCAGACCCATGTCCCGGGCCAGGAGGAGGATGTGGCTGAAGCACTGCAATAACACCCCCCCATCCCCCAGCACCACTTACCAATGGACTTCCTCCAACCCTCTAGAGTCAGAAAAGGTCCTGGGCCAGGGAGCCTCTATAACCACCACCAACTGCCCCTGCAGCTGTGTCCCCTCCCTGCCAGGCCCAGGACTCAGAAGGGAGCAAGCCAGGGTCCACTTTGCCCTGGAACAGGGTGGCTGAGGACTGCAGGCCCCAGTCCCCAATCAGCAAAGGTGCTTCCAGCCCTGCCCCTCCCTCCTTCTAGGGCCTTTTAAATTTTTTATATGAGTTATTCTGGGTTGGGGAGCGGGGTTATTATAGAGGCCGTTCCTCCCCCTGCACAGTAGTTTTGTCCTGTGGTTTATTTTGTATTATCTGTAAATAAAGTGTCTTTATTTAAAAAAAAAAACCACTCTGCCCCTGATCCAGGGAGGCCCCTCACCCCTGCCACAGATTCTCAACCATCATTTTGCCAGTATTTGTTCACTCTGCTTTGTGCCAATGCTAGGACCTGGTGGCCATAAGACAGACCTTGTTCTGCCCAGGGACCGAAGGGTGGAGGGGAGACAAAATGAATAAGCCATCCTCCCTTGAAAGGAGCTGCTGCGGACCGGCCAAGGCCCTGCTGGGGTGAGGTCTGGTGGTTTAAATGGACACAGGCTTGTCTGGCAGTCTGGGGGGCGGGGTGGGGTGGGGACCTCGATCGTGTGGGTGAGGGGGCAGGAGGGACAGCTGACTATGACCCTTTGGAACTGTGGGCTTTTCCACGTCTGGCCTGCCTGGCACTTGGAGGAGCCATCCATCAGCATAGACCCAGGCTGAGCGTCTGAGATGGAGGGACCCAAGAGGAGGCACAGGCTCGAGCATCACCTGTTCACGTGGCGTGAACAGAGCCAGAAAGAGCGTATGAGGAAGGAGGAAGTGAGGCAGGGAGGGCAGGGGCTGGGCAGTTGGAGAGGCCATCTGCTGTCGCGTCGCGCCCGACGAGAAGTAGGAGAAGCAGGCCTTTCTCAGGGGTAAAGAGTGCCTTAGCGCCCTCTGCTGGTGAGCCCCAGACTGCAAACGCGGGGGCTGCCCGAGGGCTCTGGGCTCTACAATCCTGAGGGGCCGGGCTCCAGGTTCGGCCACACGGCTCAGCCAGGCAAATGCTGCCCTCCTGTGGCCGGGTGGGGGCCTCTCCAGGGCCGACACCAGGAGCAAAACCTGACTTCAGTTCTGACCTCACCGGTTGGGGTCGGCTTTAAACTGTGGGACAGAGGGTCAAGGTCCTGCACTGGGAGACGGGCAGGCCAGGGACATCTGTTATTTTTAAGTGAATTCATTTGCCTCTACAGGCTGGTGAAGCTGTGGAAATTTGGGTTAACGACTTAAGAAATGAAAATAGAAAACTGAAAAAAGGAAATTGCAGGAACCCTTCTTTTCTCTCCAGGCAATATTTGGGGTGGAGGATGCCAAATAAAATACAGAATACCTGGTCAAGTTTGAATGTCATATGAACAATGAAAATTTTTTATTGTAAGTATGTCGCATGCAGTATTTGGGACATACTTACTTATACTAGGCATTTTTATTGTTCATCTGATATTCAAATTTCACTGGGCATCCTGTATTTTCATTTGCTAATCTTGACAACCCTACTGGGGTGTCTCTGCTCCAGATCCCTAGCCCTGAATGACCCAGGTCTGGGTGCAGCCCCCAGTGGCCAGGCACCAGGATGCTGAGCCCCATGGGAACTGGTGCTGTTCCTTGCTCCTAGGGGCCCTTTTCTGGGTCTTCCTGTCAAACGACCCAAGGAACGTTTACCCACCCTCCCAAGCCCTCGACAGGCCAAGACAGGACTCTGATCCCCTTGCAACCGAAAAGCAAACCTCCTTTGCATGGCTCAAGTATATTTTCCTTAAAATGGAATAATACTTTTTAAAAGGTAGTCATTAACATTTTTATTTGGTTCACAGCCAAAAAGGTACGAAGGGTATTACAGTGAAGAATCTCTGTCCCTGCCACCCATCCAGGGGGAAGGGCCCAGAGGCCTGGGGATAGGGGAGGAGGGCTGGAGGTCAGTGAAGAATTCCTAAGGGTCAGGCCTCTGTGGGGCCACACCCCTTTCCTTCCCTGGGCCCCTCCTCCCTCCTTCGGCGTCCCCTCCGATAGACACCACCAACCTCCGTTTCGCCCGTCTGCCACTCTTTTCGCCAGTCCGCTGCTATTTCAGGACAAGCTGAACCAACCTCAAGTAATAACTTCCGCCTTCTGCAAAACTCACCAATCAGCACTTACCCATCAGCATACCTTACCTGCATAACTTCCTCCTCCCCAGACCTGAGTGAGAACTACAGACGGGAACATTCTTCCCTGCCCCTCTCTCTTTCAGGCACGCCCCTTTCACTTTCAGTAAACCCACCAATCAAAACTTACCTCTCAGTACCCCTCATTTGCATAAGAATTCACCAATCAGCTCCTACCCAAGGGCATAAATAACCAAGGCTGTACAGCCAAGCGCCTGGAGGCAGTCGCAATAGGTTTCTCCAAAAGCATCTGTGTGGAGCACAGGCTCCAATATAAGTGGAGACCCTTCTGCACGCTTCCAAAAATAGACCTGACTCTGCCTTTGAGCTCTTTCTCTCTTTCCTTTGTTTCTGTCCGACCCACTTCCGCACAGGGTTGTAGGCGGAGAATCTGGAGAAATCTCTTGGCCTTCGCTCCTCAGCTGTTAGTCTTTGTCATACCTTGTTACCAAACTCTCTCTGCCTGCAGTCCTCCTGCCGGTCCTGAGCGGTCCGTCTGGGTTTAAGTCTTTGCTCTCCTCTCCAATGCCACGTCCATGTCCACAAACCCCTGAAAGGAGTAGGGGCTCAGGTGTCCCTACTGGAATGGACCTCCTCCTGTGAGACTTGGAACCCTCAAGGAAGAGGCCTGCCCTTTCTGAGGACTGACAGCTGAGATACCAAGTATTGGCGGTTCTCTCCCATCCTAGAGCCGCCTATCTGGGTAAGTTGACTGTCCTTGAGTATGGTATCAGTTTGCTTTGTTTGGGTAGCCGGATTTACCCTGGAGCTTGGCTGTTTCTCCCTGTGGCTTTGTTTCAAGACTGCCCCTCCCCCCCCATACATCCGTCAGCTTTTCATATTTTCACCTGTCTCTGGAATGGGTCATGTGCAAACAACAGGTATCCTCTCTGGGTGCACCCGGGTCTCCCACTCAACGTGGCTCCCCACAGCTTGGGTGAGGGTGGTTCAGGCCACTCTGCTCACTGCTCCTCCAGTCTAGGCTCAGTGTAGGGGCCAGTAAGCCCTCTGCAGAGGCGGAGCATTGATAGAATATTGCAACCCAAGAAGTTGGTGATATACTGAGCAAAAGTATAGGAGGAGATGGGGGGAGGAGATGAGAAGGGGGAAGGGAGGGGGAGCAAAAAATGGAGCTAAGGGGCTGACACAGAGCCGGGAAGAAGACTCAAGCTCTTCCACATGGCAGAATTATGTGGGGAGCCTTGCACCATTCATGCCAGAGCTCTCTCTCCATCCCTCTTACAGCCCTGGTGGCTCTCACCTCCTCTCCTGCTGTGGGGGGTAATGGGAAGTAGCAGGGAAAGGAGGGCTGTTACCAAAGGCAAGTTCGTGTGCTGCTGCACCGCGAGGCCAAACTGAAACATGGAAGTTTGGAGCAGAGAAAGATTTATTGCAGGGCTGAGTGAGGAGGACAGGGTGGCTCATGCCAAAAAAAAAAAAAAAACCCCAAACTCCCTGAAGGATTTCAGCAAAACATATTTAAGGGCCAGGTAAGGGAGAAGGGGTCACAGGGTACGTGATCAGCTAGTGCACACAGTTCTCTGATGGTTGATGTAGAGGTAAACAGGGAGGTTAACACCATCAACCCCCTCGCGCCAGAAGGTCTGGGGGCAATGCGCCCTTGATCATCAAATAGTTAATTTCTTCCCTTTGGTGGTGGTTTTAAGCATCTGAAAAATTCAGGAAATATACATGAGATACTATAATCTGGGTGCTTCAGAGAGGAGCTGCAGCAGAGGATATGGGGGAGGGGTCTGATCCTGGAAGGCCCCCCAGGGTCCTGCTCGGTTATAGGGGAGGTCACTGAGGGTCTCAGAACCACTGAGAAAGGTGCTTACCCCAACTGCCTGCAGAAAAAGGAAAGGAGCCTATCCTTCCCACCCCCGTGGACCAGCAGGGCATCTGCAGGAAAGAGAGTTCTCAGTCTGGAGTAGAGGGGCTAGAACTAGGGAAAGCAGGGGGTGGAGAAAGGGAGGGGGTTAAAGGGAAGTGAAAAGGGAGGGAGGAGGGAAATGGAGGAGACTTGGGGTTGGGGGAGTGGGGAGGAGGAGCAAGAGGAAGTAAAACATGGAAGCTTTAAACCCTGAGGACTCTGGCCAAAATGTTAGATTTTCTTTTCTTTTTTTTTTTAAATCACTGTATTCTTTCTGTGAAAACAATATCTGCTCCCCATAAACACTTTAAGCAGAAAAGTATGAAAAGAAAAAGCATCACCTAAAGTTTCATCATTCAAATATAGCCATCTTTACCGTTTC